GCGCACTGACCCGCTACTGAAACAAGCCCTTTTATCCCAATGGTCTAGTGGTTGGAATTCTGACAAGCATCGTACAGAAGCGCTGATGATCACAAGGCGGAAGTGCCTTGGTAAAGATATCAGCAGTGTTGGCCTTAGAGGCCACGTAAGCAAGGCGCAGCTGACCACGCTGCTGCAGCTCACGAGCAAGGAAGTAGCGAAGAGCAATGTGCTTTGTTCTGTGCTCCAGTCTGTGCTCCCGACACAAGGCCAGCATGGCCTTGTTGTCTACGTACAGAACTGGAGGAGAACGAGGCGGCTCTCCTAGGTCAAGCAGCAAGTAGGTGAGCCAGCGTAGCTCCTGTGCAGCCATGGCCCCCGCGTAGATCTCACCCTCACAGCTGGAGCCGAGAACAGGAGAAGAGCGGGTAGACCGCCACGAAACAGAGCCGGAGCCAAGGCTGAAGGTATAACCCTGTGCCGACCGCTGCGTAGCCTGGTCGTCAGCCCAAGAAGCGTCTGCGTGACCTGTGAGGACCACTCGACGTCGCCCTCCAAGCACTAGCCCCATGCCCGACGTACTGCACAAGTAGCGCAACACCCTCTTCGCTGTTGCCATGTGCTCTGGTCTGTGTCTCCCAGGAGCAACATAGCGTGCCAAGATGCTAAGAGGGTATGCTAGGTCAGGTCATGTGCAGGTCATCAGGTACATGAGGCAGCCAACAAGCTCTGGGTACGAGCCACTCGGCTCTACGGACTCATCCGAAGGCAGAGCTGAGAGCGAGTGGCGAGTAGGCAGAGGAGTGGCCTGAGGCGAGGAGTACGTGAAGTCGAAGCGCTGAAGGACCTGCTGCACCATGTGTGACTGAGTCAGGGTAATGGTGTGCTGTGCTCTGTCCCGGGTGATCTGCAAGCCAAGGTAGCTGCGCAGTTCACCCAGGTCTGTGCACGTGTGTCTCTTCTGCAGCTCGGACTTCACGTGGGCGAGTCCAGCAGTGTCAGCAGTGGCAAAGACCAAGTCGTCCACGTACACGAGGATGAAGAATGGCGGCAAAGAGGTGTCGGTGCGCAGAAACAGCGACGGGTTGGCAGTAGACGGAGCAAACCCAAGAGCCGCAAGTGGAGTCCTCAGTGTGTCGTGCCACTCACGGGGCGCCTGGCGGAGACCGTAGACTGGCCGCCGGAGGCTCCACTGGGTACCAGGAGGAAACGACCCAGTGAAGCCAGGTGGGCGGCGCAGCCAGATCTCCTCGTGCAGGCTGCCCTGCAGAAAAGCTGTGCTGAAGTCAAGAGAGTGAAGCTCCTAGTCGCGCTGAGCGGCTATGTGCAGCAGCACCCGAAGAGTGGTCATCTTCGGGGTGGGAGAGAAGGTCTGAAAGTAGTCAACTCCCTGCCGTTGACTGAAGCCTCGAGCCACGTAGCGCGCCTTGAAGACAGGCGGAGAGCCCGGCGGCCGCTTCACCCTGAAAATCCACATGCCACTGACGATGTTCGCCCCAGGTGGGGGAACCTCGTCAGCGTAGGTGCCTGTGGACTTCCAGGAAGCCATCTCTGCGTCCATGGCTGACTGCCACTATGAGGAGTAGGGACCCTCGATCGCCTCAGCGTACGATCGAGGAGTCGGGATGTCTGGTGCATCCGGGTCTCCCTCAGGAGCAATCAGCGTGGACATGAGATGAGGCAAAGCAGCAGCAAAACACTGGAACTCCTCCTACCTGTCCTCAAGGACGTCCGTGCTAAGAGCACACTCACCCCCGACGGACGGAGGACAGACAGACAGACTCAAACTCAGCAACAAGACTAGCAGCATAGTCTAGACGACAGCGAGCAGCAAAGTCGACAAGCTCAGCAACTAAGGCAGACGCAGCACTGGACTCAAAAGAAGGGTCAGTGACAACAGTAGCCAGGAGACGCGTGACAGGAGGACTGGCAGCACGAAGAGAGTCAGACTCCGGGTCAGCAAGACTAGGAAGAGAGGACTCTGGAGGAGACGGCAACGGGACACGCAGAGGAGCAGTGGAAGGACGCAGTGCCATCTGGTGTGTGCCGGGGACCGCAGGAGGACGCAGACGCGGAGCACGACCACTAGTGCGAGCACCACGAACAGGCGACGCGGGACAAGACGCAGGTTCACGACGCTCAGCAAGACCTCCAGTAGGACCAGTGTAGGGAGAAGGAGCAGGTAGGGGGGAGGCGGGCTGTAACTGTGACCGCGAGTGGACAGGCTGTGAACACTCTAAGGAAGGAGCAGGACCAGTAGAGGGCGGGGGACCAAGAACCTGCTCAAGGAGCGGAACGAAGTACGGCCTCGGCCGCGCAGCGCCTCCAGAACCAGAAGGGACAACACCAGTACCCCAAGCGGCAGTACCAGCGCCAGCAGCACCTCCAGCTCCAACAGCGCCAACTCCAGCACCCTCAGAAGCACCAGCGCCAGGAGAACCACCAGCGCCAACACCCCCAGCAGCTCCAGCACCAGCAGCTCCACCAGCTCCAGCAGCACGAACTCCAGCAGGACCGTCAGCTCCAGCACCCCCAGCAGCTCCAGCAATACCTCCAGTAGGACTAACTCCAGCAGCCCCAGCAGCACCCCCAGTCCCAGTAGCTCCAGTACCGCCAGTACGAGCACCTCCAGGACCAGCAGCAACAGTAGTACCTCCAGCTCCAGCAGCACGGCTCCAGCGGCGGGCAAACCACTCCCGCATCTCCTGCGGAGAGAGTAGCTCCCGCCTCGACGAAGCAAACGTAGCACCCCCAGGCTCCGCACCTCCAGGCTCCGCACCCCTAGGCTCAACACCCCCAGGCTCAGCACCCCCAGGCTCAGCACCCCCAGGCTCAGCACCCCCAGGCTCAGCACCCCCAGGCTCAGCACCCCCAGACCCGGCACCCGCAGGCTCAGCACCCCTAGACTCAGCACTCCCAGGCTCCGCACCCCCAAGCGCATCACCCCCAGACCCGGCACCCGCAGGCTCAACACCCCTAAAAGCACCAGAGTCAACAGCTACCTCTACAGGCTCGACTGCGTCTACCTGGGACACACCTGACGGGGCAGGACCCTGAGGGGGGAGAGGGTCTACTGGGGGAGGACCTGGCGCAAGGAAGAGCGGCGGCGGGGGGAGGGGCGCAGTGCGGTAGGGAAAGAGACGGTAGTAAGGCACCGACTCGTCAAAGGTGACGTCCTCGGAGGACAGAACACGGCACGAGGTGGGGTGGTAAAACTGCCAACCAGGCGCGTCAGGGGGGAAGCCAAGGAAGACGCAGGGAACAGCACGGGGGGACGGCTTGTCCGTAGACAAGTCGCAGACAAACGCCCGAGATCCCCAGACCCGAAACGCAGATGCATCGCCAACCTTCCCCGTCCACCGCAAGGTGGGGGAGGTCTCTGGCAAGGAGACGCGGGGCTGAAGGTTGAGCTGATGCGCAGCGTATTGAACCGCAAACGGCCATAGAAAATGGGGAGCAGCCGCATGGATCATGGACGTACGAGCGACGTCCATGACCATGCCAATGCGGCGCTCAGCAATCCCATTTTGCTGTGGAGAGGCCGGAAGCGTGAAGGTCTGGCGGACGCCCTGTGCACGACAGAAGGCTCCCAGACGGGCAGAGGAAAACTCCCCGCCTCTATCAGAGTGCAGACGCAGAACAGGAAAGTCCGAGTTGAAACTCTCTCTAAGCTGGAGACGAGCTGCGCGGATCCAGTCGATCAACACCTCAGTGACATCACCCTTGCTGCGCAAGGGGAACACCGTGGTGTAACGCGAGTAGTCGTCACCCACCAACAGGAAGTAACGCTCGTGACCCTAGCCACGGACACGGGCGGGGCCCCACACGTCCATGTGAAGAGTCTGCAGGGGAGCCTCTGGCGGAGGAAACTCGGAGGAGTGAGGGGCGGCGCGCTGCTGCCCCTCGAAGTAGGGAACGCAGGTAGGGGCAGGCCCCGGAGGGAGGGTAGGGAGGGACCGGGGGAGACCAGAGACAAGAACACAGGAGGCCATGCCTTGGAGACGAGGCAGGGAGGGATGACCAAGGCGGTGGTGCCAAAGGAGAGTCTGGTGGGACAGGAGACGACACGAGCAGGGAGCAGACTCAGGACCAGACCTGGACGCTGCAGCAAACACCTGACTCGACGCAGCTACCTGACCAGACTCAGCAACTGGAGCAGACTCAGTAGTCAGTGTGTACAGGCTCGACCCCGGCCGACGGGTAAACGTGGCCAAGTGTCGGCCCGTCCGGGCACACGTGCAGTGGGTCACCTGCAGACTCGCAGGTTAAAGCCCAAAAAAAAAAAAAAAACAAAAAAAAAAAAGCTGACTCGCAAGAGTGAACTGGTCAACCCCTCCATCCTGTAGGACAGCACCACTCACCAGGTTCGTAGAGAACGAGGGGAGGTAGAGACCTGATAGGGTGCCAGAGGGGGTTGCCGGACACGGTAAGACAGTGGAGAAGCGAGCAAGGACAGGACCCCTTGAGGGATCCGCGAGGGAGACCGCAACCGGCCGACTAAGCGGCGTAAGCGTGGTGTGGTCTCGAAAGAAGGAGCGGGAAGCACCCGAGTCAAGGGTGAAGGTGTGTAAGGCCTGAGCCGTCGAGGTACCTGAGAGAGCAGACTCACCAGCACATGGGGCAGCAGACGCACTAGCACCTAGAGCAGCAGCCTCACCAGCACCTAGAGCAGTAGCCTCAATGCCCGGGTCAGGCGGAACACACAGGTAACAGTCACCCTCATCACCAGTAGACACAACATACATGGCAGCAAGTATAGCATCATAGTCAAGATCAAAGATAGCGACCCCCGCCCTAGACAGCTCTCCCCAGCGAGGGATCTCAGTGGCGTCAGGGAACTGGTGACGCCAAGCGTCTGTCAGGCGGCCGAAGCATCGCTGGGTGGAGTGCGAGCCCCCGCACTGCTCACCAGTGCGGTCGCCGGTACGGAGGACGTAGGTACAGGGACCAGTACCCCCTCCTCGCTGACGTGCAGCGTACCACTCACGATTCTGCTGGGGGGACGGGGTCTCACGAGTGCGCTACTGCTGCTGGCGCTGACCACCACCGGAGCCACTCCTCTGTGCAGAGCCGCGAACAGTTCCACCACCGCCGCCGCCTCCGCCGCCTCCGCTCCCACCGCCACCAGCGCCGCCTCCTCGGCCTCCACTGCTGCCACCGACACCTCCACCCCCGCCACCACTCCCACCTCCACCCCCACCCCCTCCACGGCCTCCACCGCCACCTCCACCGCCCCCGCCAGCCCCTCCAGCGCCCTTGCCCCCCTTGCCCTTGTCTGTGCGGCGTCTCCCGCTAGGGGCAGACGCAGCGTCGACCGACTCGAAACCAACGAGGTCGGCCGCAGCAGCAGAAGCAACTGAGGGCAAGAGGGGGGAGGGGGAACACCCCTCAAAGACGGGGGTACAAGGGTCACCACGAGAGGCTCCTACAGCGACTATGCTCTTCTCTGCTGCTAGGAGGCGCTCCTTGAGGAGGTCAACGGTGAGTGTGGTGGGGCAAACTGAGAGGAAGTGGTCCCTGACTAAGCGAAGGGAGTGAAGGAGCCGGGTGACTATGTAGTAGAGGGTGATGTACATGGGGGGAGGGTTCTTGGCATAGAACTCAGGAGGAAGCGCAGCGCGGTAGCGAGTGTCACTAGTGCGAAGGTGCGTAATGAGGTCAGCGACTGTGGGAAAGGCAGCAAGGTCAGGGAACAGGTACGGCAGCATGAGGCGGATAAGAGCAGTAGTGGCAGGGGAAGAGTAGCGTGCAACTACAGCGCCGTACAAGGTCTTAGCACTCTTGTACTGACTAAAGTGCACACGCTCAGCGGTCGGTAAGTGGCGACGCACAGCAAGACGGGCAGCAGCATCGCGCGTGGCCCACTGTGAGCGAACAGTGCTGTCAGCAGTAGTAGGCGGGGCAGGAGAGGCACCAGAGGTGAGATCAAACAGGGAGAGTCCGTATGCCCTATCGCACTGTAGGAAGAGCTGGAGGTCACCGACCCAAACCTCAAAGTCAACAGCACGACCCTCAGCATCAAAGGTAAGGACACTGGGGGTAGCCATGACAGCAGTGGTCTAACAGGGAGTGCTCTCACAAGTCCGGGCGGGAAGGGCCGGTGCGCGCCGGTAGGAACAGTAGCGGCTTGACGGCGGCTCAGCAGCTCGGCAGCTGGGCGGCTCGCCTGCTGGGCGGCTCGGCTGCTGGGCGGCTCGACTGTTGGGCGGCTCGGCTGCTGGTCGGCTCGGCTGCTGGGCGGCTCGGCTGCTGGGCGGCTCGGGTGCTGGGCGGCTCGGCTGCTGGGCGGCTCGGCGGCTGGGCGGCTCGGCGGCTTGGTGGTTCGGCTGCTTGGCAGCTGAAGGGGGGGGCCGTGAAGGGCGGCGACGGGGCCGCTAGGGGCGGCGACGGGGCCAATAGGGGCGGCGACCGGGGCCGCTAGGAGCAGCGACGGGGCCGATAAGGGCGGCGACGAGGCCGTTAGGGGCGGCGACGAGGCCGCAAAGGGGCCGAGAGGGGCCTCGAAGGGCTGCGACGGGGCCACTAGGGGCGGCGACGAGGTCGCGAAGGGGCCGCGAGGGGCCTCAAAGGGCGGCGATGGGGCCGGTAGGAGCGGCGACGGTGCCGCTAGAGGCGGCGACGGGGCCGATAGGGGCGGCGACGGGGCCGATAGGGGCGGCGACGAGGCCGCTAGGGGCGGCGACATGGCCGCAAAGGGGCCGAGAGGGGCCTCGAAGGGCGGCGACGGGGCCGCTAGGGGCGGCGACGGGGCCGCGAAGGGGCCGCGAGGGGCCTAGAGGGGGCGGCGACGGGGCCGCAAAGGACGGCGACGGGGCCGTAAGGGGTGGCGACGGGGCCGCTAAGGACGGGAACGGGGCCGTAAGGGGTGGCGACGGGGCCGCTAAGGGTGGCGCGAGGGGGGGCTGTGAGAGGGGACGTGAGGGCGGCCAACGGGGCGTGCCTCGGGCAGGGGCGACTCGCGCTCCGGTCAGGAAAAAAAAAAAAATCAGTGGTGGGCCCTGAGAAGCGTTCCCACTAGGGAACCTGCTCTATACCATGTGAAGAAATGAGGAATGAATGAACTAGCAAGCAGGTGGGTACAAGTAGGAAAACCTAAAAGTGTTGTACCCCATATTGTCTACCCCACTACAGCCTACACAGACTATAGCATATGAGTTTGACAACATACATGCATATATACATACATACATACATACATACATACATACATACATACATACATACATACATACATACATACATACATACATACATACATACATACATACATACATACATACATACATACAGACATACATACATACATACATTGTTCTTTTATGGGTGTGAGTAGAGTGCATTCTAGGCATGACCTGCGTTCCTGGTCTTCAGACTCCATCACTTTACTTGGTGCTGTTCGGTGTTGTACGGTACAGTGTTGTTCTGTTCTGTGCTGTGCTTTGCTTTGCTGTTCTGTGAAGGACCTTTATCGGTGCTCCTCCCTCCAGTGCCATTTAGGCTGACTTCCTTGTTACAATCTGCGCCTTTCCTCGTCAGAGAAATATCTACTTTCCACCCGGTAATTTCTCTAACCATATCCCTTTCACCTTTTTCTCTCCCCTTTCCTGCCCTACCTACCTACCACCGCACCCCCCACCGGCCGTACTCCCTTCCCCCCACCTCTTTTTCCCATGCCAGCCCCCAACCGTGCCACTCCAGGCTCGGTGCATATCCTCTCTCCCCCCGTTGGCCGAACCACACCCATTGTTGGTCGGATCACTCCTTCCCCACCTGGCTCGGTGGACGGTGACGTGGCGGTCCTAGCAGCAGCTAATGGCATTGCGCCACGTGGACAGCTCACGCCACCTTTGAATGGAACTATGCAAGGAGACGTAGGGGCTGAAGGGGAGATGGCCGGGGAGGGGAGAGGAGGGGGGGGTGTTGAGAGGGGTGGAGAGGGGGGTGCGGGGGGGTGAGGAGGGGGGGAGGAAGAGGAGGAGGTAGAGGAGGCGCTGAGAGGGTTTTTGCCGCCCCCACCACGAGAAAAGTGCTCAGAGCAGCTTCAGGTTTGTAAGCGGGAAACGAGGGGAGTGGGGAAGGACAAGGAAGGGAGGAGGAGGTAGAGGAGGCGTTGAGAGGGTTTCTGCCGCCCTTGCCACGAGAAAAGAGCTCAGTGCAGCTTCAGGTGTGAGTGTGAGGAATTGGGGGGAGGGGGGAGGAATGGAGGGGAAGGGAATGGGGAGGAGGGGGGGAAGAGGGAGAATGTTTGAGAGAGGGAAGAGGGAACGAGGAGGGATTCGGCTAAACTAAGAAGTCTTTTCTGTGTTGCTAATTTGCCCTTTCAGCATGAGCACGGGTGAAAGTCCGCTTTGTGCATTGGGTTCTCGTTGCACATCCTATAGAGCGCTCCATGTTTCCACGTGGCGTGTTGTGATTGGTGGTGGCAGGCCAATTTTATCACGTATCTGCCACGTGGCATGCTGTGATTGGTGCTTGCAGGCCAAGTCTATCCGGTATCTGGAGCTGAAGCGGGCCGGCAGGAGCATCAACGACGCTCTGCGGAACTCCAAGGGCTACCGCAACCCTGACTTCGTGCAACAGGTGTGGTGAAGGGAAAGGGATGGGTTTGGGCGTGTTGGGGTGGGTGGAGGAGGGTTGGCAGGAGCATCAACGACGCTCTGAGGAACTCCAAGGGCTACCGCAACCCTGACTTCATGCAGCAGGTGTGAATGGGATGGGGGGAGGGGGGGTTGTTTGGGGGGAATGGAGAGAGGTGTGAATGTACGCGACTTTTAGGGCTATCGCAACCCTAACTTGATGCAGCAGGGGGGTGAAGAAATTGAGGCTTATGCAGCAAGTGTGGGATGATGGGGCCATGGGACTTATCTGTCCTTCCCCCCTCTCATGCACTGCACTCCCAAACAGATAGTTCCTTCGCCCTTCCTCTCATGCACTGTGGGTTCTCCTCCACTCTCTCGCTGTTTGTTGGTTTACCAACCTCTCACGGTTTTAGAGGCGCCTCACAATTAGTCTCGTCCTCCCTCTCATGCACTGCACTGCTGGTTCTCCACTCTCTCATTCTCCACTCTCTCATTCTCCACTCTCGCATTGTTTGTTGGTATACCAACCTCACACTTTGTTGATTTCCCACCCTCTTCCACGACAGGTCGTGAAGCATGAGGGTATAGACGAGCACGGCTCGTGTTTTCCTAAGGACGTCTTTAATCCCCACGGCTTTGACCGATTAGACTACTATGACGCTCTCGGTACGCTGGCCTGTTCTCCTCACTCGGTCTATTTTTCTAGGCGCCTCAAGACTAGACTCCCCATGGCTTTAACCGATTAGACTACTAGGACGCTCTTGGTACACTGGCTACTCTGCCGCCCCCCATGCTGCCCCCCATGCTGCCCCCCATGCCGCCCCCCATGCTGCCCCCCATGCTTAACCCCATGCTTATCCCCATGCTGCCCCCCATTCCGCCCCCATGCCTCCCCTATGGTCCCGTTGTTCCCCTCACGCGCCATTATGGCGCCCTTGGTTTGCTGGCCTGGCTTTGAGACATCTCAAACCATGCTGCCCCCCATTCCTCCCTCATGCCGGTTCCATTCCCCCGCATCCCCCCCCCCCCCCCCCCCCCTTTATGGTCTCGTTGTTCCCCCCACGCACCATTATGGCGCCCTTGGGTTGCTGGTCCTGGCTTCCCGTGCTTTACCATGCTCTGCTTTTGAGTCGACTCAAAAGCTTTACCATGGTACCACACTCAAACATGCGGACACAAGTATGCCTGGTTTGGTGATCTATTGATGACGTTTCAAAATCGCTTGCTGCATGTGCGCCCCTGCGCTGGTGTCGGGTTTTGTTTTGAGGCGCCTCGAAACTGTTTTAGTGATCGATTATATTCAAGACGTTCCAAAAGTCGTTTCCTGTATGTGTGTGAGCCCTGGTGGCAGTGGCAGAGCAGAGGAGGGAGATGGAGCGGAAGGAGCAGGAGAGGAGGCAGAAGGGCGGGCAGATTGAGTTTCAGCGAGGGGGCACTGTTGTGCAACTCATTGCCGCTCCTCCTAAAGGTATTACACCACTCTGCACCACTCTGTGCCACACTAGACAACTCATCTCCGCATGAAGGTACTGCTTGTTCATAGGGGAATGACCGTTGAGTAGTGGCAGAGGGGCGGGCAGATAGAGTGTCAGCGAGGGGGCACTGTGGTTCAGCTCATAGCTGCTCCTCCTAAAGGTAACGTTTTTGCAATGGTGCACCTCTTTGCATCTCTCTGCACCCCCTTGGGCATGGCTGATGGCCCTTGGGGTAGGCACTGGCAGATCAAAGGAGGGAGATGGAGTGGAAGGAGCAGGAGAGGAGGCAAAAGGGCAGGCAGATGGAGTTCCAACGAGGGGGGACTGTGTCGAAAATAGTTGAACGAGGATTGAGTTAAGTTGAAACTAGGGCCTAGGCTTAGGAGCCTAGGCCCGAGATTAGGTGTCGAGTAGTTCTTGCCTAGGGTGAGGTTCGAGTGAGTTGGAAGAGAAGTTGGGAGAATGAGGTTTCACTATAGATTTCGAAGTACATATAGCAAAGGAAACAAATGAAGAGGTGCACCACCTACAAATTTAATAACTACACTACAGCTAGAACTACATGCAGTTATAATAAACATAATTCTGACATCCCCCCGTAACTGCATGCAGGAATAGCTAAGTGCAGAGCACAAGCTGCAGAGGTACACCAACAAACAATAAAACAAGCAACAGCAGGTACTGCAGGCGGGCTAACTTTGAATGGTTACCCCCTCCATCTCCTCACCCTCCTCCTTCCCCTCCCCCACACCGCTGCAGGAGCAGCAGAGAGGGGGGGAAGAGAGGAGAGGTGGAGGGACGGCTGCTGGTTGCCTCACACCCGCCACCCCGGTGCCTCTCCCCCTGCTCCCCCACAGCCTCACACCCTCCCCCCCAGCGGCAGCTGCAGCTGTGGGAACGAAAGGAGGAGGAGGGGAAGGGAAGTGAACGACCCAACACCCCAACACCCGCCACCCCCATACCCTCCCCCCCACGGCTGCAGGGAGAAAAAGGAGGAGGGGGTGGGCGGGAAGAAAGTCGCAGAGCGGCTTCAATGTGTTGGACCGGGTAGCTCAGGGGCGGCTGAATGGAGAGCGGGTGCAGAAAGGCCCGTCGCGTGCCACGGGGCGCACGACGGGTAAGAGTAAGTGTAGGGCCCGATCGTGTGCCACGGGGTGCACGACGAGCAGGGCACCGTCGCGTGCCACGGGGCGCACGACGGGCAGATTTAGGGCTCCGTCGCGTGCCACGGGGCGCGCGACGGGCAGATAAGGAGTCACACGCCCGGGGGCGGGACAATAAAAATTCGCCACGCGCCCTAGGCGCGCGACCGAAAAAGCGTAGCAGCGGAAGCATGAGGCGGGCCCACAGGCCAGGACGAATGTCGCTCTGATACCATGTCGAAAATAGTTGAACGAGGATTGAGTTAAGTTGAAACTAGGGCCTAGGCTTAGGAGCCTAGGCCCGAGATTAGGTGTCGAGTAGTTCTTGCCTAGGGTGAGGTTCGAGTGAGTTGGAAGAGAAGTTGGGAGAATGAGGTTTCACTATAGATTTCGAAGTACATATAGCAAAGGAAACAAATGAAGAGGTGCACCACCTACAAATTTAATAACTACACTACAGCTAGAACTACATGCAGTTATAATAAACATAATTCTGACAGACTGTGGTGCAAGTGATCGCTGCTCCTCCTAAAGGTAGTGCACCACTCTGCACCGCTCTCTACCACATAAGTAAATGAGAGGGCACCACTGTGGTGCAGCAGTGCAGCTCATTGCTGCTCCGCCCAAAGGTATTGTTTGCTTGACTAGAGCGGTACAGTGCACTGCTTTGCATCTCTCTGCACCGCTCTGTGCCACATGACATTAGAGGCAGAAGGGCGGGTAGATAGAGTTTTTTGCGGGGTGGCAAAGCAGGGGCCGAAACAGCAGGAGTGACACCAGGATGGTGGCACTAGGAGGAGTGTTGGGGCAAGCCTTTCTCATGCGTTTCCCATCTGCCAAACCAGGAGCCCAACCTGTTCCAGATGTTGCAACTACAGTAGCAGGAGGAGCAGCATTAGCAGGAGGGACAGGATTGGTGGCGTCTGTACCTGTGCAACCACCAGCAGCAGGAGGAGTTTTGATGTGCCTGAAGAAAGTCTTTCCCCTGTGTTTCCCATCTTCCAAAACAGGAACTCAGCGCGTTCGAGATGCTGCAGTAGCAGGAGTAGCAGGGGTGATGGCACCTGGGCAACCAATGGCAGCAGGGGCCGCAGCAGCAGCAGGAGCGGCAACAGCAGGAGTGGCAGCAGCAATGGGGGCAGCGACAGCAGGGGGTGCAGCAGCTGCTGGTGTGGGAGCGGGCATAATGGGTTCTGCGCCTGGCGTTATGAGGGGAAGCACCGGTGCCGCTGAAGGTGGGGATGGATTGACAAGAGGCGGAAAGAGGAGCAAATGGGATAAGGTATGTTTTTGTTGAAAGGGATTGAGGTTGAGGGTTTGAGAGCAGGGGAAGGGGAACAATGGGTACAGTGAGGGGCAATGGCGACAGCAGGTGCAGCTGCTGCTGCTGCTGTGGGAGCGGGCATAATGGGTTTGGCTCCTGGTGTTATGAGGGGAGGCACTGGTGCTGCTGGTGCTACTGCTATTGGGGATGGATTGACAAGAGGCGGAATGAGGCGCAAGTGGGATAAGGTACGGATTCAATGAGATCAGTTGGGGAAAGAGGCAGGAAAACATGGGAGATTCAAGGGACGCGGGAAAGGGAGGACGATTGCCATTGGCCTCTCACTCAAATACTCCCACAGTCACCGCATCCCACCTATTTGCATTGGCCTGTACCCCCTTCCACCAGGTTGTTGCGGACGCCCCACCAGCAGCAGCCGGAGTAGCAACATCAACAGCAGGAGCCGCTGCGAGTGCTGCTAGTTCTGCTGGCGCTGCCACAGCTGCTGGCGGTGCTTCTGGTGGCGTTGCCGGTGCTGCTGCTGCTGCTGGTGCTGGTGCGAGCATGGGCATAGGGCGAGGGGCGCACATGGCAATGGCAGCAGCGAGAGCACATGCTGCTGCCATCACAGCCGCCGCCGCTGCTGCTGCCATGGGGAGTGCAGCACCGACAGGCAGCCACATGTGAGTCTCTAGTCTTCTCCCTCCCTATTGCATGCTGCTGCTGCGGCTGCGGCTGCGGCTGCTGCTGCGGGGTAGGAGAGGGGGGCAGGGAAGAAGATGCCATAAAAATTACAGGGCCCACATCCGCATGAGTCTTTATTCGTCTCCCCATTAGCTGACATTGCTGTTGCTGCAGCTACTGCTGACACGGCTACTAGTGTTGGACAAGGGAGGCGGGATGGTAAGAAGATGCCATGGGGATTGCAGGGCCCTCAGCCGAGCACTTGTGAGTCTCTATTCGTCTCCCCATTGCATGCCGCTGCTGTGGGTGAGGGA